AGTTCAAGATCTACAAGGATTCATTGTTATTACTATATAACAATTAAGGTATGTATCTAAACCTTAGATTTAGGTTAATTTCAATAATCATGCATGTTTCATAGGGTTTCTCTTTTTTATTCAAGTTTTCATGTTTAACTAGTGAAAACCTAGATCTAAATCTTTAGGGTTGCATGAACACATATGATTGTAGTTATGCTCAAAACCCATCAGTGGTATCAGAGCCTAGCATGTTTTTCATTTGAATATGATGCAATTGTGAATTGTTCAAAGGAGAAGGGAACAGAATCGTCATTATGTTCATAGAACTCGACGAGTTAGAATCAACTCGACGAGTGCACTGCCCAGACTCGACGAATTGGCCTGTCAGATCCTAGATTTCAGATTTTATTGCATAACTTGATTTACATGGTTTATATTTGGTAATGATCTTTTATTAATTCTGTCATAATCTGATTTTTGGTAATATAAGATAATTAAATAAAACCTAAATGTTAGGAATTAATTATGGATTAGATAATGTTGATTTTATTTGATTATAATTATCCTCATAGACATGGTTAATAATTTAATTAATTGTTTAATCAAATGATAATTAATATATCCATAATTGGTTACTGGATAACTAATTTAAATATTAATTGGACTTAATAATTAATATTTTTGGGGTTGTTTGAAATTTAAAATTAAAAGTTTAATTTTGGAAATTTAAAATGTAAACCCTAAAATATATCCTTATGAATTTTATTAATGGTAATTAATAAATCCATATATGGTTTAAATTTATTTAAATTAAATGTTTAATTTATTAAAAGATTAAGCCCTTAGTATTTTAAAATGTTTAATATACACCATATACTATATGTAAGATTAAAAGTTTAATATTTACTATACGTATAAGCAAAGTCAATCAAATCGCTAGTACGCCTCATTCACAAAGCCATACTGTAAGGGGAGTTTCAGGAAGCGACTTGTAAAATGACCACCATCAGGTATCCATTGGGTATCCATTGTTACCTACCGCTCCCATTCTTAGTTACTTTAGGAAAAATATGAATTTGATGCTAACCCATGAAATTGCACATTGCACCTTATTGGTCGTTAGTGGAGCGTGTGTGGTTAAGCGACACACTAATATAGGACTAATATTGTTGGCAATGGGTGTCTCGCAAATTATCATTGAGTTAGTGGAGCGCGTGTGGTTAACCGGCATGTTAATTTCAAGTGATAAATGACATCGAGAGTACCAAGCTAATTTGCATGGTTATTCACATCTCGTTTGTGATTCTCGGCATCCCAGTCACAAAGTGAGAGCATAATCGAGATTAAACATGCCGTTGAATAGTTCAATGAATCTCAAAAGATCTAGGAGTTTCATTAGATTGAAACTGGTAAATGCTTACCTACCTAAAATAGATTCTAATTTGATTACGACATCCCTCTTCAAAATTCGAATCGAAAATATGGATCCTAGCCTTAATTTAAATTTTGGGTTAATAATTAAGGATTAAATAAATCAACTAACTTGAATTCTTTTCTCCCTTTATAGATGTCAAGTTCAGACATCAATGGTCTTCCTCATCTTTCTGGAAACGGTTTTCCTTCTCTTTCTAAAGATGATCTTCCACAAGTTGATCAAGGTGAAAGAATGTTCCCTTCTTTAAACGGTGGAACTGGAAACCATGCTTCTCCAACTCTTCCTCCACCTCCTCTAATAATTCTCCCCGATCCACGTATTTTTCAACTTGAGAAGTTCGAAGTCACTCAAGCCCTATTGACGTTTAAACATCAAGATGGAAAGTCTGTGTGTGCGCATGTCATGAAAATGAAATCGCACATTGACAGATTGGGGACGTTAGGTGTCGTTTTCCCAAGGGAGATGGCCATTGACTTGGTTTTAGTTTCGCTTCCTAACTCATATAGTCAGTTTATTAAAGACTTCTATGAGAGGGACCACAATGTGACCTTAATCGATCTGACATATTTGTTCATTGCTACTGAAGCAGAAATGCTTAAGAGTACAAATCAAGCAAATGTGTTTGAAGGATCTGTCTCCCAAGTTTCCATGGACATTGACAGTGGCAACATTGGTAGTCCAGAAAAGGTTTCTCTTCCCAATGGAAAGGGATCGGCCAATTGAAGGAACATGGGATGCGAAGCTGGCCTGTCTACCTGAAATATCGCAGAGATAGTAAAGTCAAGTTATATGACTCAACTCCAGGTACATCCACTATCTAACTCTATTTTATTAAGTTCCTATTCATAGATGCTTATTATATGATGTGATAGTCACATTTTGATGTTTTTGGCAGGATCTAAGAGAAAAAAGGAAGCTTAAGAAGAGCAAGTTGAATCTGATTGTGAGAGATCGATTTCGGTCGCATAGTCCGATGATCGGATTTTTGAGCTGTTGAATAGGAGTTATGATAGTTTAATAGATTGCTTAGGAAATATGTAGAAACATAGTTTTCATATATTTGGATTGTAATGACAAATTTTTCCCCATTTTATCAATAAAGTGAATTTATGGTTTTATCTTATTTACTTTATATATCCTTGCAATGGCATTTATGAAAATTGGTGGTTATATTCCTATTATTAGCAATGTTAAAAGTGGATTCTTAGTTGTGTCATTTGTGGAAATATCATAATCAACCAAGTGAAAAGGAATTCTCATCATCCAAGTTTTAGTTGGATAGAAACTAGGAATCATACAATTTGAAATTGTGTAATGTATGAGAATCTTGATCTTTTGGAAGATTAAGACTAATTCGTTGATCACATGTTTATGTGTGTCAAAGGGAAGGACCAATAGATCTAGTACACTTTGATGTGGACTATTTAGATCCACCACAAATGACGATAAGTATATTCATCATGGTTTACTGATGGTTCAGTAAATATGGTTATACTTATAAGATTAAGTGTAATTCTGATTCTTTGAAAGGTTTCAAAGAATGGCAGAACGAATATGAAGAATCTATTAGGCAGAAAGATAAAGGTTGAAGATGGAATAGAAATTGTTCATTCGTAAAAGGATATAATGAATAGGTTAAGTGTTTAAATGGACACTATAGGAACGATTAAATGAAACGCAGAGAATGTTGGAGGCCTCTTGGATATGCAACTTGAGTTGAAAAAGTTTAACCAAGTCTGAAGCAAACATGTATATATGCTCAAAATGTTGCGTGAACATAAAGCGGTCTTATCTTTGTGATATTTGTGTTAGTTATTTTCCCATCTTACCCTTGATTTTGGTGCTTATTTATCTTTCAATTAAGAGTGGTGATCCCCTGTTCTTCCACTTTTGTGACTTGGTGTTGGAGGACTGCCTTGATTTGAGGAGATTAGAGGAGGTGAGGTGGACTCTACAATGACATTAAAATATGTTATAACGGGTTAAATGACCTAAGTTACATATGAAAACGAACATTTTAAAACAAACATTTTAAAATAAACATAAAAGTTCGTTGGGCTAAAATGACATTTTCCCTTTCAAATTTATATGACTTGTATTTTTTATTGGTTTATCCGATAATTTGATGGTTAGACCAAGTATAAGATATATTGTTAGAAAAATAGACTTTTTTTTATCTTAAAATGAATATATTATCTAAAAGACATAAATACATTAATGTTTTATTTTTTTAATAACAATATCACCATAAGCCACCTTGATGATGGCATTCATGTTGCATATATTTAATCCATATACATAGGTGTTGTGAAAACCTAGAAACTCGATCTGAAACCAAAAATAAAACTTGAATAAATCAAACCATTCTGAAAACAATTAGTGTGGTTTATGGTTTTTGAAACACTAGATTTTGGGCGTGTTTGGTAAAACAAGCTGATAGTTGGAAGTTGGAAGATGGAAGCTAGTAGCTAGTAGCTGTACCTTTTATTTGTTATATAAATGTTTGGCAAAAGTAGCTGTAAACTTTTGAAATGTGTAAAATTACATAAAAGGACAATTGTTTAAAAAAGATAAATATATAAATATATTTTTAACGACAATTATGAAAATTGATTCTAAATGCTAGAGCTTTTTCTTAAATGATACATGAAGTAATTTTTAGATTTTGAATATTTTGTTTAAACTAAAAGTTAAATGCTTGTATTCTCAAATGAAGATTTTTGTTTAAATCGAATTTTTGTTTAAAGCAAACACTCGTTATGCACTTTTGTAGGTTGGTTCAGTTTTATGCAATAAAACAAAAAAAATTGTAACCATATTTTATATTCGATGTCGTATCATATAACATATATAAGTTATTTTCTTAATGGTATAAAACTGTATTACAAAAAAAATGATATTATTATACCCAAAATTGAAAAAGAAAAACTAAAGTGGACAAAATAGCATAAACCGAAAAAAACAAACAAGTATTTGTTTATGATAAACTTAGTTTTTTTTCTTAATGGTATAAAACTTAATTACAAAAAAATATCTTATTAAACCCAAAATTGAAAAAGAAAAACTGAATTGGACAAAATAGTATAAATCGAAATAAACAAAAAAGTTATTGTTTATGATAAACTTTTTTTTTTTGAAACGACAAATCTAACATAACTACTTAAATCGATTTATGTCTAGGACGATACTTGAACTCTGAACCCAAAAAGAAAATGATAACACTGGATACTGCTCGCCTAGAAGCGTTTCGTGAAACATAAACAACTTATATAAGAAAATCATAAAATTTAATCTTGGTCGTCCAAATTCATCAAACAACTATAACTGTCTAATAGTCGTAATAAATTTTATCTCATTGACCTTTTTTTTAGAACTGCTTACATGCTACATACTGATTTATTTTTTAAATCTACACATTTCTTCCATAAAGAGTTTTAAGCTACTATAATAATAATAATAAACATAAAAAATTAAAATTAAAATTAAAAAGCTAATAATAAAGTAACTAATGTTTGGACAAGTGTCATCATCCCAATCAATGTGCATGTATATGCCTTTCCGCTCTATTATATATTTCAGGCCAAAAAGGCCAAAGTGAGCTACTTGCAAAGAAGAAAGCAGTTGTTATTCCGACCTTCATTTTCAGAAAGATTTGTTCACCATTCTCCACAATAATCAGACAGAGATATGGAAGGACACGATCACATAAAAAATGGATTTCTGAGAGCAGATCAGATCGATCTCAAGAGCTTAGACGAACAATTACACAGACATCTAAACACCACCCCCACTTCAGCTACAACTATCAGAAGAGCAAGAAGTTTCGACAAGAATACGAACATCAACCTCAATATTAGCCCCATTAACTTCAATAATCCTTCGTATAATCATCAAAAACCACATCATCTTCATCATCAACAAAATCACCATGGAGGAGTAAATCTAGAGAATATTACAACTTCTAGGTTGAGGATTGATACTAATACTAATAGGCAAAGGCAAGAGTGGGAGATCGATCCTTCAAAACTCGTTATCAAATCTGTTATAGCTCGTGGCTCATTTGGCACTGTTCATCGTGGCCTTTATGATGGTCTCGATGTTGCAGGTATGTATTACCTCTCTCAAACTAACTATTTGTGTTAATTTATGCAACATTTTATCTCGATTTTGGTTCTTAATTTGCTAAGTTTATAGTAAGTACATCAACTTCTTAACTGTTCTTATTGACTTTTTATCGAACACATTATGTGCATAATCATATTGTCTCCTGATCTATAATCCATTCATCAGGATTCTTAACTGATCTTTTTGATTTTTTTTCGCCCGTTTGATGATACTCTGTAAAGCATTCATCTGGATTCTCAATCTCAAAGTATGCCAATTAGTTAACTGTCTCATTGAACTTTTATCAAACACATTATGTGCATATTATTTTTTCGGTTTGATGTTATATTATAGCAAGATTACCAAGTAATTAACTGTTCTTTTTGAACTTTTATCAAACACCTTATGTGCACTTTCTTATCTCCATTTAATGATGCTGTGTATAAGAATTAAGAACTCAATTTGGAATTGTTCAATTCATTTCAAATCACCAACAGCAAATTCATACTATGATCTCTATGCTATAATAAAAAATTATCAAACAGTTTACGCAAATAGACAACATGTGCCTTAAAGTTATGAGGAGACTTTATACTACCGAAAGTCCAATTCACGAGATGGACCTGATCTACAGTTGGCCTCTTTAAATTCATTATGTAGTTGCTTTAAGTAACCTTTTTGATTCTATTATCATCTACACAAATCAAGTGGTTTTCTATGTGTTTTGAGTTTGACATGTGAAATTTATGTGAAGGAGAATTAAAGGTGTATGCCTTTTTTTCAAATTAAATTTGTTGGGTATTTAGGTTGCCATAGTTTCTATCATGTTCAAAAATCAAAATCAACAATAAAGAAAGAAAATGAACCAAAAGACAACAAAAGAAATAAACATAAAGTTAACTAACAACCGAAAGTAGAGGTGATAAAGCTTATTTATTTGTCTTAAAACGGATCAAATAATCGGTAAAAAAAAAGCGATTATTTATAGAAGTCCCAAGATGAAATAGTTAGTAAGAAAATCACTAACTATAGAGAAAAAAAATTAACAAACATGAATATATAAATCTAGAAACACGTTAAACTTCAATATTCGACACTTATAAAATTCACCAAAAAAAAATTAAAAGATGTAATCTAATATATTAAATTTGATGTGAATAAACAAAAATAATGGATTAGTATTGCTAGTAGTCTAAAATATGAAGTGGGATCCACTATTAAGCGATGCACCCGACTTCCAATGACCTACATCCACTACTGAGTGCAACTCATACCCTTAAACTTATTATTTATTTATTTATTGCCAATTTCGGGGATCTATAAACGATGAATTCTCTTGTTATTGTAGTATATACACAAATTATTTTCATAACTAACGAAGAGATTGTTTAGACTAATTTTCTTATTTTTTTTTTCTTTTTAAATCTTGAGTTAAACTTCTTGATTGGGGTGAAGAAGGCCATAGAACAGATGCTGAAATAGCTTCACTTAGAGCAGCTTTTACACAAGAAGTTGTTGTATGGCACAAACTTGACCATCCTAATGTAACCAAGGTAACATTTCTTCTAATAATCTAACCGGGGTATACACTATTATTATAAAAACATAATTCAAATAACTATTACAATTTTATTTTTCTGTTTCTACTTTTACATTATAAAAACATAACTACTCACAATGTTTTGTAACGGATGTTACTCTTCAAGGGTGAGTTCAAAACAGAAGCAAATTATTTGAGCTAACCGCAAAACAAACACATGTTCAGACACAAACATGTGTATCCTTTGTGGTTTGCTTAAAATAACCTGGATCTGTGTTGAACCTAACCATACTGTCTAAATTTTGACAGTTCATAGGGGCAACAATGGGGACATCGGAACTAAACATACAAGCAGACAACGGTCATTTTGGCGTGCCACGTAATTCTTGTTGTGTAGTAGTGGAATATCTTCCCGGTGGTGCTCTTAAATCTTTTTTAATAAAAAACCGAAGGAGGAAATTGGCTTTTAAAGTTGTGATGCAACTAGCACTTGATCTTGCTAGAGGGTATGTAAAAATGTTAATTTTGTTACTATAAATGGCTTAAAAATGTGAAAAAAATGAAAATATGTTGTAAATTATTGGTAGGTTAAATTATCTTCACACAAAGAAGATTGTCCATAGAGATGTGAAAACTGAAAATATGCTTTTGGACAAGACACGAACATTGAAAATTGCGGACTTTGGGGTCGCTCGTGTAGAGGCATCGAACCCAAATGACATGACTGGTGAAACTGGTACGCTGGGTTACATGGCACCTGAGGTATCTAGTTTATTTGTGATTCTTAATTTAGCATTTTGCTTAAAAATTACAGAAAAACACTTGTATTTTCATCAATTTATTAATTTAGGTATTTAACGGTTTTTAATAGTGATTTAAATTTAAATATCATACCTTCTTTGATTTTTATGAATAAACCATTTTTCTGCTTATCATGTTTTGAGAACTGACACAACAAAATAAATAAATAAATAAAATACTTTCAACATTTTATCAATTTAACGACTAAAAACTATTATTTTATTATTGGTATTACAAAAAAAGCAAGCTGATGAGTTTTAAGAAAAAAAACAAGACAAAATACATAAAAACAAAACATACAATGACAATTTTATCGATTTAGCAAATGCACTACTTTTTTTTAATTGTTTAACTGCAAGTTACATTTTTAAGTTCCACCGATTCAAATCAATTAACCAGAAAAATAATATATATTACAATAGTTAAAACAATATAATGATTTAGATTTTAGTACTCCCAAGCGACTAGATTGATAACATAATGGATATACATGCAATTCTTTTTAATATTTCGTCCATGTAGATGACTATCTGATTAAATAAATTCATTTAATCGACATGGAGACAGGTCTTAAATGGGAGTGCATATAACAGGAAATGTGACGTATATAGTTTCGGGATTTGTCTATGGGAAATATATTGTTGCGACATGCCTTATCCCGATCTTAGCTTCTCTGAAGTGACATCAGCTGTTGTTCGCCAGGTATATTAATTCAACAAATGAAATCCATACAATTTATCTATATATATAACAAAATGCACAATTTTTAATGTTTTTTTTTTAAATATATAATTTATGTACAGAATTTGAGACCAGAAATACCTCGTTGTTGCCCGAACTCACTTGCAACCGTTATGAAGAGATGTTGGGATGCAAATCCCGACAGGAGGCCAGAAATGGACGAGGTGGTTGCCATGTTGGAGGCCATTGACACTTCAAAAGGCGGCGGAATGATACCCGGAGATCAACAACAAGGATGTTTTTGCTTTAACCGGACCCGAGGCCCATAAAAGTAACTTAATTTCAATTTCTCTTTTTCCCAAGAAAAACGTCTTATGTTTTTTTTACTGTTAGTAGTTTGTACAGTATAATTATCAATACATATCCTTTCACTATTTGTATAAATTATCAATACATATCCTTTCACTATTTGTATAGTTACATGTATTTGGTTAAAAAGAGTTTGCTACCTTTGTGTGTAATAGTAACTTCCCTTGTTTCTTGGAAACTTCAACATATTACTCACTCAACTATAACTCACATTTGGTCCACACATTGATTTGGACCGGGGCCTAACCCAAGACCGATAAAACAAATGTCACTTAAGGGTTAGTCATGAAGGAATGGTTACGGGCCTCGTTTAGAAGGTGGAAT